TCTCACATTGGCCTAAGTGCCCCCTAAGTGACGTAAATGTCCGTTTAAATGCCTATGCTGAACGAGTCATCCCGCATCATGCTATCCTACGAAGTTCTTTTCTTCTTTTTCGATTTTCTCATCATAGAAAATGTTATGATAGATCACCCAATAGCAAAGAATATAACTACAGGTATAAGTATATATCTTATATGTTAAGCCAAAAGTCACTAACTAATATTTATGCTAATCTAATTGTGAGTTACTACTTGTCAAACAAATGTTTAATGGGAAAAATATACTTTTTAGCATTTGCACGCTACAATTAATGTTTTTTTATAATATAATGGCTACTAAATTAGACTATTTATGAAATAAACATAGTCCTCTTCTTCTTTTTTAATCTTCTCGTAAAATCATAGAAAATCTTATGATAGATTACCCAATAGAGAAAAGAATATAACTATATGTATAAGTATATATCGTGCTATACTCAATATTTGTGCTAATCTGAGTTACTCCTGGCTAAACAAATGTTTAATAGGAAAAATATATTTTTTAGCACTTGCACGCTACAATTGATGCTTTTTGTGGTGTAATAATGATTATTAAAAACCAAACTGTTTATGAAATTTCGAACAATCTAAACTAAAGTCATTTTGGGCCAAAAGTGTAATTAGTTACTTTTGACTGAACATAGACGATATATCCAATATACAAAATTATTCGTTAAAAAAGAAAAAGAGAAAGAATGTGTGTGTGTGTTAAAAGAATACTTTCGTTCTCAATATATCTCATTATCTTTTACCGTCAGATAAATATATTATGAAATATATTCACGAGAAATGTTTAAAATGCAATAAACCCTATTCCATCTAAAACAAATCGTGTTCTCTTCATACCCTGTTAAAAAGTATAAAAAAAAGAAAAAACCGATTACACGTTAGTCTTCGAAATATATATAACAAAAATCTAATCAGTTTAGATCGATTTTTGAACAGAATCGTTTTCAAGCGGAACTAAGAAGATAGAAAAAGGATCCAGTTGGACAGGTGAACGAGACCGAAAGTGGAAAAACACAAAGCTTGTGTATCGCCCACGTATCGTTCCGAGTTTCGTTTCCTGTTAAGTTGAGAGACTCGACTTAGCCCCTACGCGAGATCCACACGAGATAAGTATGCAGATGAAATATATATCTCGTTGGTGTGTTGAGCTCCTTGCGAATACGACGATATCACGAAAGAACGCAAACTGCCGTGTGCCGAGTTTGCATTTCTCGGATGGAAAAACAGTGCACGCGCTGACTAGACCCCACGCTCTCTTTGAAACGACCACGCCCTGTACCAACGTTAGTTATTTATTTCTCTCTCTTTTCTTTTCATTTTCATTATCTTTTTCTTTTTCTTTACTCATTCACTCTCCCTTCGGTGTACTTCCTCTCTTTCCTTTCGATACACTTGATGAATCACACCTGGTTCCTATCTCTTCGTCGCGTCGGCCGCCATAACTGGAGCACGCCTTCTGATAAAACCTAAGAGAAAACAACCCGAGAGAAGATCTTCTCTTTTTCGGATTTTCATTTTTTACCTTTAACAAGTTGATTTATTAATAAAATCGAATCGTTATTTTAATTATCGTCTATTCAAAATTCTATCGTAGGTTCTGTAATGTTACTTATATCATGTATTCAATTTAGGACACACTGTATAAGGAATCGAAACAAACGGTTTTTAACTAAAAACATTTGTTAATTCTATCATAGATTATTATAATCTGATCTACAATTGTTATTTATATCATGTATTAAATTTGTGGACAAACAATAGAAATTACACGTACACATAGAAGAAACTAAATAGATGCTTTTTAACTAAATAGATTTAAAAAAAAAAAGAAACATTTTAAGATCGAACGTTTACTTGTCATAGAAAAAAATCGAAGGAGTGAAAGATGATGGACCAATCGTGTTCTAAAACGCGTTCGGTGAATCACGATCGTGTATCGGCAAAGGCACTAGCTAAACAACCTGTTTACTGTAACTAGAGCACCTCCTCTCTTTCTCGCGACATTTATTTGCTAGAAAAAGAGAGGGAGAGTCATGGAAAATGAATTAAACGAGTTGGTTATATCGGTGATACCATTAGCGCGCTCATTTCGCATTTATCAATGGCTCATTAAAACTTGGCGCAAAGTAGATGATAAATAAGAAACTTCCACTATCATCTTTTCGAACCGAACGTATTTTCGTATTTCATCGAACGAATTTTATCGCACTTGCACTAGCACTTATCGTTTTTATTCTTCTCGATCAAAGACAAAGAAAAAAAAACAAATATAATATAATGTATATTTTTATCATGCTTTATTCTTATCATTTTTTTAAGTAAAAATACACAAAAGAAAAAAAAAAGGAAGATTTATTTTTCAAGAAAAAAATATATTGACTTTTTCGAATTTGTCATTATAGACAAATAATCTTTCTATTCATTCGGACACAAATGTCAAAATATTTTTCAACAATAATCATATTACTTCAGATCATATTCGCTGAATTATTATACCTCAAGGTTTTTCGGTAAGTTATATTATTACAAAATATTTCGTAACTTGATAGGAAAAAAGGATCGACGAATAAAATATAAAGTCTCTTTCGAATCGACCGTTTTCACCTTCGGGCACATAGAGAGATTTTTTTTTGACAAAAGTAAACACTCTCGTTCATCTCCCGTTACGTGTCAAAGCCCACGCTTACCTTTACTAAATTTTTTCGACGTTCGCCGAGAATTTAACAAGATTTAAAATTACGTGGGATCGAACGTAATATAACATCCTTCTTGAAAGATCGACTACTTGTTCGAAATATTTACTCCGTTCATATATGATCGGGAAAGGGAACTTTACTTTAAATACAAAATGTAAAGTTGGCGATGAGATCAGATTCGTTGGTACTCTTTTCTTCTTTTTTTTCTTCTTCTTCTTCTTCTTATTTTCTCTTTTTATCTTTTTTATTTTATTCTTACTCCCGTCGTAATTTATCGGTCGAAAGACTCGGCAGATGACTCTTTAAAGAGAGAAAGAAAGAAAGAGAGAGAAACTTTGAATATTCAATCGCGCCCACGCATAATTTTTCCCAAGGTTCGCGAAGATGTTCTCTCTCTCTTTCTCTCTCGAATCAAAAACGTCATGCCGAATACAGCATGATCGTTCATCTCCCTTATCGCAAGGAGGGCTCGCATTAGGCTAAAAATAAATTCATTATATCGGCGAGAGTTCGGCCCGCTTTCTACGGGCCCCGACGGTCGTTCGAGGTCGAACGATTAAGAAGAAGTTTCTTGTGAAAATGAAAAAGTTTCAAGACGACTCTCAACGTTTCTTATAGGGATGTAACTATATATATAAATAAACAAGTTGGATGATCGAGTCGCAAGTAAATTGGAGCAAAGACCCTGAAACCCTTTCGGTATTCGTTGTGATATACCAAGTCGAGAGGAAATGAGTTGAGGAACGAAAGGTCAGCAAAGTGATTTATATTATATGCTCGTAACGTCGTTAAAGTACAAAAAAAAAAAATATTTTGACAAACCATGCGCGCAAACGTTACAGTAGCCTCTGAAACCATAATAGGATTCGTACGTAGGTAAGTAAGTACCTACATAGAGATCGGTGGTTGCATAGAGACACGAGATGTAAACGATAATTCGAGTTCTTTCTATCTTTCTTTATTTCTCTTCTTCAAAATGCGTTCCATGTCGCAGGAATAAAGCATAAGTTTGCAAGCATGGTAGTTCGCGCTTTAAAAAATGTTATAGTACACGAGAGGTGGTAGCGAAACGCTTCGAACGTTACGTTGTATAAACACAGATTGTATACTCGTATAAGTTGTACGTGAAACACATCAAGTTGCTCGTGGGCAGCGCCAGGGGAAACTTAATATTCCATTTTATCGGATAAGAGACTTGGATTTATCGTAACAACATCTACCGTGTTTATGTAAATGTCACGGAGATTTTATCTCGTAGCTGGTGAATTCAACCTCGTATTGCTTTCCATCGATGTCCGAAGTATATACGCGTATATGTCTCTTATCCTTTTTTTTCTTTTGTTCTTTTTTCCATCAACACGTTAATGAGAAATTGTTTTCAAGTATCTTTCGTTTACCTCTGAGTCTGTCAAACTTACGAATATTTTTCGATGAGAAAATAATCGAAAGAATGGTCAATTAATCATCGTACGATTTCGTAATACCTACTCGACGTGTTCAAAGATCGTTCAAAGCATAGTCATCGTATATTAAACTTTATTGTTATATCATACGAAATGTAATACGTAGAAAAAATGTTAAACTAAAATGAAAAAATATCTAAGATGGTAGCGTGAAATCTGGTGATTTACAAACAGGAATGAATTTTTATCCTTTATAATACTCGATGTTTGACATTGTTACCAACGATTCAGGAATCGGACGTCCTGCTGGGCGCCACTCGTACTTAACTATATACATTATACTTATATATAGAAACGTATCGTACGAACTTACTGGTACAAACGAACGTCACTCAATTACGCGATTAACTCGCTAATTGTCAGCGTCGTTTAAATGCGGAGCCGTACTCGGAATCGAAGAAAACGACGTCCGACCACCCGTCGGGCCTACAGAATTCTTTGCCCTTTTCGATAGCTCCCTCCGTGATTTATATATCAGATACGTACGCGCCTCGAATAACAGGAAATTCGAGAGTTCTTCTACCGATACTCGATCGATTTAAACACGTCGTGATAATATGAAGTCTCTTTTCCATGAGTCCGTATACATTTATCAATCAACAAAAATATCTATGCATAGGTAAACGTATATATAACATATATATGTATATGTATAACGTTTCAATACGAACAATTTTTCAATAACATTTTTATATATAGATATTTATATATAAATATTATATTATAAACTTAAAGAGTATGTGTAATCGTTAAAATTCGTATATTAATAATGTCACATAATTATTTTTTTTTTACAGCCACAAAATCTCGTGATGATGGGTACTTTCCCGGAATGCGACGTCAAACTTTGCGACTTCGAGATATCAAGGGTCATACTGGAAGGCACGGAAGTTCGTGAGATTCTTGGGACGCCTGACTATGTGGGTGAGCAAGCAACGTCTCCTTCGATTCATGTTTATAACTGATTTATGGTTAATCCGTGTTGTAAATTTTCGTGTCAGTTTCGTATCTTTAGTTAATGAGAATTTAATCAAATATTCGAAACATTTCAAGCATTGCGAAAAGGATAATTTCAATCTTCGCGTTGAAAAGTATTTTCAATTAAATTTTATATACGCAATATATATTTACTTATCAAAATTCCGTTCATTAAAAACACGTATTTCTCCTCCTTCTTCTCCTTCTCCTCTTTCTCCTAAAGAATACTTTTCGGGAGGCGATAATGTGTTACTTTTTTTTGTGAACATTCCAGACAGGGACGTTTCACCGGCAACATTTTAGTTTTTCGTCATTAGTCTCCGTAATGCTTGTGCCTTTTTCTTTTATTCCGAGAATTTTATTTAGGTCGACGTTTGTCCCGCCGATTCGTTTAATTTAACAAACAAAAATCTATCGTCGGTAATTTTCGTGCCAACTGGAATTACTCATGTCCAGGAAATATATTTCGAGTAACAAACACGTTCTCGATTTAATCGTGTCACGAAATCAAATGCAATCACTTATATAACTACGTATTAATAAAATAAATAACGATTCATTCGCCATTAAATACAATAAAACAGAAGAGAAAAAAGTGATAATATAATATATTACAAATATCTATACCCAATAGACAATATATATTAAAATATATATTCATTTATTTTTATATGTATTATATTATACAAAGTATCCTAAAAATTGTTTTACCGAGAGAAAAAGACAAAACAAAGAACGAGTATGAATATTTATCTAATTGCAATATTTTTGATATTTCATTTTAATAATATCAATCTTTATTTAATGTTAAAAAAGTATGCCATTACTTCAAATACCTGTTAAATAAAAATCTATCATTTCTCAGTTTGTTAAAATAACTTTAGGGATACTTTATACATATAAACATATACATTTGAAAATAATCATTTTGATAAGAGTCTAGAGAATTAGAGAGTTGTTTTCCTTTGTAAGTGATCAATGCTATTCACGTTTACCTTGAGAGATATCGCGTTTACACACAAGAGTCCTGCAGGTGCATCGGCATTTTGCGAAACACGCTTGGCGTTTGCTTTAATCAGTGCCGATCATTATCCAGATCGACTAATTGGCGATCTTGAGCTGACGACGATCAAAAATATATAATCGATATTAATCGACGCGTTAACCTCGATCAGCTTCGTAGTTACGACCTTTCGACAAATTCATGTTTGAAATTTTCCACGCTTACGAAGAAAATTGAAGAGCATGTCAAGTCTCTCTCCCTGTCTCTCTTTTTTTTTCTTCTTAAACAATTAACACGTGACTTACGGTGAAGCATATTTCAAGCAGTTTTGCATCCGACAAAATAATCGTCGTTAATTCCTCCGCGTTTGCGAGAAACGAGAACAAGATTTATCTCGATTTCCTTGATAAGATGATTTTATTCACCAACCATCGACAAGATTCTAGAAACATCTTTATGAAATCAACGCGAGAAACTATCGTATATATATATATAATACATGCATACGTTTTATCGCAAATCTCGATCTCGATCACGCCCGGTTCGTGATAATTAAATCGACCTTTGTCGTAGTACAATTAGCATTTCAATTAACAAAACGCATACGCGTTGCATTGTTACGGACTTTATGCAAAACGATCTTTTCGAGGTAAACAGTTGTTCTAATTTTTTTTTTTTTATTTTTCTCAAGATTACGTTACAAGGAAAATTGATTACGAAGAAATTGTTATTGAAATATATTGCATTCGTATACGTATATTATTATCTACGATTTAATGAATTTATATAGATATACGTATAATAATTATTTGATTAACTATAATATAGTAATATTTAATATATGCGAGAAGAGAAACTTATACGACAGGACGATATGAAAAATGAAATAAAAGAGCTTGATCGATTGATATTACATTAACAAGATAATTTGATAGGAGGAGAAATAAAGAGTAAAGTGATTCGATTAAAACCACGTTAGTGGATCGATTAATCAGTTTTAAGTTCTCTCGGAGAATTTATGTGAACGCTGATCGAAATAACACGTTCTCGAAACTTCTCGGGTAAAGTTGGTAATCTCCGTTAATCGTTACGAAGATTTTACGAAATCTTGTCAAAGGAATATGAAGTTTAATTTGAATTACACACTTATAACAGTGTGGATAAATGGTTTGGATAAATGTGATCGTCGAACGAATGAACGAATAAATCGAGGATACTGGATTTACCGTAGACTCGTTCACGTAAGACATTTATCCTTACCCAAATACAGATTTCTACGTGGCACACTTTTCGCGAATAAATTAAGCAAGTACAAATGAGGCCGTTGGACTAAGTAATTTGTATCCGTAAACGTTACACGTGTATCTGTGTTCGTTGAACGCATTAAGTAGATTTATTCGATTTCACAAACCAAATGATCGATATTTTTCCATCAGGTAAAAAAAAAGAAAAATCTCTTCCGTTAATGTAGATCGAAGATATCGATTTGTACAATTAAAACTTCTATCGGATCTTTTTTTGTTACAGCGCCGGAAATACTGCACTACGAACCGATCACGTTGGCCGCCGATATGTGGTAGGTTTAAATGCATCAATGTGTATATTTAATTATATCGCAATATCATTATATAAAGAAAGATTTTGAAATCGTGTTACATATAATATTCCAGGTCTCTCGGTGTTACAACCTACGTACTACTAACAGGTTTCTCCCCGTTCGGAGGCGACACCGATCAAGAAACGTTTCAAAATATATCCCTAGGTGAAGTTGATTTCCCAGAAGAATTGTTCGAGGAAGTTTCGGCGCAGGCAAAGGACTTCGTCGCTAAACTTTTAGTGCTAGACCCAAGGTTAGTTTCTAAACCAATGCATAATTAAATTCCGAAGACTTTTAACGTCTTCCTTTTCTTTGTTATATTCCTTTTTCTTCTTTCTTTTTTTTTTCTTTCTTTCTTTCTTTCTTTTCTCATTAGCGCACGAATGACAGCGAAGCAGTGTCTGCGTCATGAATGGTTACGCGGTGCTCCGACCCAAGCGTCACCACATTTGAGACGATATTTATCAAAATCTCGTGAAGTTCTTCTGGAACGTGTGGTGAGTCGAGAAAATCTAAGAAGAGCAGCCCTATTGAGTCAAACTACGAGTCAAGCAAATCTTTTATCGACGGATAATCACGATCAAAATCTTCAGGATTGCGTACTGAGCCACAGCGAGATTTGCCTGAGCGATTGCATGACTGCAAGCCAATCGAGTCTCCCCGGAAGCGAAGGTTTTCCTAGTCCGTCTAATTCCCAAGTGAGTTTGAACTCTTCCCGAACGAGTCTTAGTTGCGCCAGCCAAAGTTGTCTGTTGAACAAGGAACAAACGCAGGGTTTGCTTAGTCGAGCGCAGAGCCGGTCTCAAGCTAATTTGAATCATGCTGTTAGTCGTGGCCTTTTGTCCAGAATACGTAGCCTTCATCGTATACAATCGCAAACGTGTCTATCTAACGGTACTTCGAAAACAACTGCATCACCCATTCAACGTATGATCACCTCGATGCACCCTGTTAGCAAATCACGTGAAAAGTTGTATGGTTTAAGATCGCTTTCGAAATCTCAGGGTGTACTTGACATATATAGAAGTTTGGAATGTCTTAGACGTAAGAGAAAACCCTACGAAAGAGCCAAGACCGAGGATGTTGTTCCTATCATAAAACGAATCGATGTTGAAGAAATGTCGAGAATCAATGATAATCAAAAAACACCTTGCGAGACTCGTAATTCGATAAACTCGGAACAACGACAAACGAACGGATCCCTTTTGGAGAAGCCAGTCGTAGACGAGATCGTAGATAACACGAAAGAGGAAAAGCCTCTGCAAAAACAACTGATCTTATCTAACTCGATAGGCGCGGAAAAGACATACGATCGTTCGGAGATGTCGAAAGAATCCAACTCGAGGTCGGAGGAAAATCTAGATTCCTTGAAATCTATCGAATCGGACACTCTAACGGAAGAATCTGATGAAATCCCTTTGGATCGTGAAAGAGAACCGAACGACTTATCCACGGGAAAACATCCATGTCAAAGACAACATTCAGACGTTTCTAACCATTCAAACAACTCTGGAATCTCAGATGATAAAGAAGATCGTTCGACCGAGTCAGAAACTGAAGAACCAAAATATACGGTTGCCCAATTAGTCTCTGCTTTCAACAAACATCAAGAGGTTGCTTCAAAAAGTAGTCTCGAAGCAATTATGAGCGAAAAAAGAATCAACGAAGTTACGTTTCCTACTGGTACCAAGGCCTTGCGTCTTTTCATACCTGACATTGATATTACGGAAAGTACGATAGTCAGACGAAAGACTAGTTACAAGCCTAGGAAAAATTGGGAAGAATTAAGAAAAAAAAATGAAAAAAACGAGGGTGTCCTTAAGAATTTTGAACATGAATTTGATAACGATGATGATGATAACCAACAAGAAATATCAAAGGAGGTAACACCCGAACAAATAACCGATAATAAGACTGATAAAAGTGCTGATATTGTTAATGAAAGGGATAACAAGAAACAGGATGGTTTAGTTTTCGAAAATTGGTCCGTGGATGCTGATTTTACGGAAAGTATCGGTATGGAAAATAGTATTGATACTACCATCGACGAAAAATACAAGCAATGCGTCAAAGTAGCCAATAAATTAAAAAACGATAAGCAAAAGAAGATATCTTCGTTTGTCAAAACGATTAATCAAAATCCGATTCGTCAAAAGGAAAGAATGCCTAATTACATTTATCCGCAATTAACGAATCATACGAAAGAAGAAATACAAGAATCCCTTTGCAACAATAAAATGGCTTCTAATGCAAACGTAAAAATAGATAAGAAAAAATCAAGCAAATCAATGCAATCGAATAACGTTAATGTTTCCAATGTAAACTTGAAAGACATACTTCAAAGGGTCGATAGTTTTCAAAGTACACCGAAAGAGAACATGGAAAATCTTCGAAAAAGAACGTCGATCGCTAAAATCATCGTCAATGATAATTTGACGTTGCACGATAACGTAGATTCGATAGTAAACGTAAATGAGAAAGATAACAGAACGAGTCTTCGTGCTAAAAGCGAATCACCCCCGAATAGTTCTCATATCGAAGAAAGAATCCAATTGATAGTACAACCTTCCTTTGTTAGGTCATCTTCGTTATCAAGTGACAGTAGTTGTCCGACACCATCCAGTGGCCAATCGGATACGAATGTTTCTTGGGAAGATGTTATAACGACACAGGGATCAAACGTATTTTTGGATAAAGCAGACAATTATAGAAATCAAAGAAAAAAAGAAATTGATTCGAATGAAACTAAAGGCAAACAAAACACGGAAGAGAAGAGACTTTGGGGCAAGGTATGTACTGGATCTTACACTAGAGCTATGGAAAAATTTACAGGAAAAAACGATTGCAATAAAAAATCGATGAATTTTTTATCAACGAATATTGAAAAGATCAGAAGGAAGAGCACTCCAGCGATGCCTCAATGCATTAATCCTTAAAAACCATTATAAAATTGTTCATTCGAAAGACTGAAAGTTAGGACTTGATAATATATATATATATATATATACATAAATAAAAATAAATTATGTATGTATGTATATATATATGTCTTTTATCGCGTTACTCTTGAGACGATAGTGAAAGAAGCTGGAAATATCTCATTTTCGCTTACAGGATTTAAGATAATCGTCTTGTAATCCACGACTTGCACAAAGAGATGACAGTAGCAGCAGCACTGCCAGTCAAAAGAGGGAAGATCGAGAAAGGTATTACAAAGCGTTAATTTTTATTTGAAACATATCGAAACACGAACGAAATCGTTTTTAATCGTTCAAGATGGATGATAGATTTCTCGTCAACGACGTCCTACTCGATTATTTCGCGGCACCACAAAGGCAATTGATCGTGATTTATCATCTCAAGCTTATCCTTGGTATAATCTCCATATCTAGCGAACACGAAGAGCTATTTTTTTTTTCTTTTTTCTTTTTTTTTTTCCTTAGTAAAGCACCTACTAGCATCGGCTTCGTTCGCCGCTTTGTCGGAACTTGGAGGACGTTCCGCGAGAAGAGAGATTGGCAGATATATTTTTGCGAGATTCCATTTATGGGGAAAAATTACGATCTTATGAAAATCGTATAATTATTAGGAAAATCTATTAAAATTTCTATAACGTCGAATTACGCAGTATTTCCTCAATTACATGCGAAAGATCGATCCCCCTCCTTTTACCACAAGGCAGCAGAAAATTCATTGCTCCAGATTGAAACAGAATATATTCTAGATACGTATGTGTATATAGTTAAGGTGTCTCAGTAAAGAATGGATTATTGAGAAAACTGTGACTAGGTGATCACGGTCATAAGTCCTTATTGGAATAATTACGAGATGATTCATTCTAAGCAAATGGAGGGTCGAACGTGCACGTGTTTGGGAGGACGTAAGTGCAAGACCTATGGAAGTTTTTACATAAGAAAGTAACTATGCGATTGTGTGTGTGTGTATGTGTTACGAAATTTCTAATAAACTTGATATAAGGTACTTTGAAAATTCACACACACACACACACATTATTGTAATCATAATAATTTGATTAAAAGCAGTTCATATTCAGGCGTTAAAATATGCTATTCCACAATATAGGTGTTTTATTAATACCTTGCCATATCTCAGTTAGTGAATTTTGATCTTTTTTTATTTCATTATCACAAGAATTAAAGTATTTTAACGATTGTTTAGTATTTGTATCGCATGGATAGTGCTATAAATGATTATCTAAACTTCGTATGCAAAATAAATACGCTTTTTATCAAACATGTACGCATGTAAATCAACAATCATATTGAAATATCAAATAAATCGCATATGTTATAAGATAAGATAATATGATTTCATTTATTTTCATTAACAGCTTTACCAATTTTCAATTTCTGGAGAATATAATGAAAACGAGAGTGATTGATATGAAAAAAGTAAGTTGATGAAAATTGTTTTATAATACTATAAAATCTAGAATTATATAATATTTAAAGATTTCGAATATACCCATTTATATTATTCGGTGATAAAGTAATTATTATTATTTTAGAAATATTTGTTTGATAATAACAAGTATAAGACTAATTTTATCGTCGATCGACACTTATTTATATACAATAGATTTACAACAACGGAAAAGACGAAATGAAATATCAAATAGTTAATAAAACTCGCGTTAATATATCGTAAGGTATTGGCGATGGGGGAGGGGGAGTTAAATATTATTATAATATAAAATAATTTTTCATATTGAGACAGTCGATCACAAAATAATGCCTGCATAATCATACTTTCATCATTCCCAACGACTTTTCCGTACTCTCTTTCGTTCTAATTTGTTGTCCACTTCAGAAGAATTGGAAGTTTCGTTATCCTTAGGTCGATCTACGCTAGGTTTTGGTGGCACTGGGGGTGGTGGTGGCATTATAACAGAAGGTGGTGTAATAGTTTGTTCCCACGTATGATCCGATGACGCTCGGAACTAAAAATGAACATGGAATCGAATATAACTATCATTTATTTATATTGATTATAATAAATATATATTTGTAGAATATAACGAAATAATATTATTTTACCTGTGAATTATATTGGCTTCGAAAAGCGGCTTTCATAGCAGAAAGACGATCACTACCTGGACCATGTCTTTCTAATTTCTTAACAACTTCACTTATATCTTTGGACCCTTGCGAAGTGCCGCTGCTAGTTTGAAATGAAGAATCATTCTAAAACAATAATGATAATAATTAAGTTTCCATTTGATTAAAATATATACATATATATATTACTTAAAAAAAAAATCGATAAATACCGTAGTTGTTGAAGTATCGGGCCTTTCTCTGAACCCAAGCCCAGCACCGCCAACATTCAAACTTTTACCTTTTCCGCCTTTAAATCTAGACTTTCTGAACCAAGCACTTTGCATAGCTAAATCAATTAAGCTTTTAGGTACTTCCTGATTTGCACCTTCAAGATTTCTTACTAAATGACCTGCAAATTCTTTATCTTTCTCTGTCACAAGAGTATATGCGGTACCTTTTTCTCCTGCTCGACCTGTTCGACCTATTCTATGAGTATGCGTATCAATATCACGTGCAACGTCATAATTCAGAACTGTTTTTATATGTGGAATGTCCAAACCACGAGCTAAGATAAACAATTTTATCTCATGTATATACATATATTACCATCTTTATGTATACAAAAAAATATATTTTTAAATAAAAAGACAAATAAAATTACCAGCTACGTCAGTAGCAACTAAGGTACTGACATCTTTTTTTTTAAATGCTGTAATTACTTTATTTCTTTCAATTTGGTCCATATCACCATGCAAAAGTAGAACATCAAATTCTTTTAATTTGAGATTGTTGGCAAGTTCTTCTGCATTCAACTATTAAAAAAAATATCAACTAAGTATATAGAAATTCTTATATTTAATGATAAAATAATAAATCTAAATAGACTTACCTTTTTGGTCACAAAAATTAATAAACTTCCAGTACTTAAAAAATCTACAAGATTGTGTAATAACCAAGACCATTTACCAGAAGGATTATTGTGAAACATTATAACATGTTGAGTTACATCTGTATTTGCTTCTCCTACATCTCCCTGTACAATCCTTACTGGATCTGTCAAAACGTCTCTAGCAAGTTTTTCAACTTTCTTCTTAAATGTAGCGCTAAAAAGTAGTGTTTGTCTGTCTGGTCTAACATGATTACATATGGATCGTACTTGAGGTTCTATAAAAACGCCATCAAAGAATTAGTAAACAAAATTTTCATTTGATATTAATTTTAATAAATTTACTTACCAAATCCCATATCAAACATTCGATCCGCTTCATCTAATACCAAAAATGTAACTCTTGTTAAATTTGTTGCTTTCATTTTAACTAAATCAATCATTCTACCAGGAGTAGCGACAACTATTTCAGCGCCAGCTTCTAATGCTTTACTTTGTTCCCATTTACTACCACCTCCGTAACAACAACAGACTTGTATATTATATACTTTACCAAACTTCTTTGCTTCTTGATAAATCTAAACAGAAGATGATTTATACTTACTTAAATTATCTAAATATATTGTAAATATTTTTCCCTCTAATGTACACAATTTTAAATTACCTGTTGCGATAACTCTCTAGTGGGTGCTAAAATAAGACCGATAGGACCATCTCCAGTTTTTAATTCTCGCTGATCCATGATATGAACTAACATTGGCCATATGAAGGCTGCTGTCTTCCCGCTGCCAGTTTTTGCAATGCCTATAATATCTCTTCCACTTAAAGCAGCAGGAACAGCTTGAGCTTGAATTGGCGTAGGTTGTGTATACTCATTTTTTCGAATGGCTTTTATCAAAGCATCATCAAATCCAAAATGTCCAAAACTAGTGACAGGATTTGGTGGCGAAGGTCCAGATACTTTAATACCTAAAGTCTTCCTTAGATCATCAATTTGTTGTTTACTTAAAGTTGAAATTTCTTCATGTACATTATAAAAATTCTTCTCAAAAGACTCATATTCTATCTCGCTATGATCAACCGATGGTAACGGATCAATTTCTTTTTTCTTCGGAGGTGCTATAGGATTTCCATCTTCGTCATATTCGATTTCCTGATCTGATTCTTCTTGTTGTAATCCAGCAGTAGGATTTTCTTCCATGTATCTTATAAAATGAATAATCATTATTTTATGTTTTTCTTTGCTATTTATCTGAAAAAAATTCAATGACTCCCTCTTTACCTATAATAACTCTCTTCATCATCCTCCCCATCTATATCTGCTCTAAATCCCTTAGATTTATCTTCCTTACGATCTTCTTCTGCTAATTGAGCTTCATAATTATTTTTTTTAACTTCCGCATCAATGCCTGCCATAAAAGCGTCTAAAGGATCTTCTTCGCTATCGCTATCTTCTTTTGGTCCTGACTTTTTCATTAAGTCATATGTTGGTGATCCAGGTGCAGGTATATATTCCAAAGAAGATGTAGGAGGTTCATCATCATCTTCAAAATATCTGTTATACAAATATGATAATATGTTGCATATTTATAATGAAATAATAATTATCAATATCACAATACTCTACTTACTCTTCTTCTGTCTTACTACGTTTTTTTGGCATACCCCAACAAGCAGAAAGAGCATTCTCAGTAATAGAATTCATGGTATGATATCCCTGTTTACTTAATACTGAGTTTGGCGGAGGAGGAGGTATATTAGAACCACTTCGCTTGGTTCCTGTCATTTGAAAACCAGGGAATCCGAAGCCTTTGGGCTTATTACCGCCACCACGATGATAACTCATAATTATTTCTATTAAAATTAAATAAGGAAAAAAAATCACTTATACTCAGCTATTAATTGTCAAGTTAACCTTTTTATAGGCACGATTATTTTACTTTTTATTTAATAAATGTAAAACGGAAGTAAAATTTTACTCATACACATTACAAATGTATTTTCCTATTTTCAATAAAAAAATTTCAATATTTTCAAATGTTAAAACATAGTAACTAAATAATATTTTCTTTTTTTCATGTAAACACAGCTCTAATAAGGTTAGAATAATCTTAGAATTAGCTTCGACACAAACATTGTAAAACACATTCTATATAAATTCTTTACTCGCTATCTTAGAATGAGAAATTATATTTTTAAATAAATAATTATGTATTTATATATATATATATATAAATATCTATATACAGTTATAACAACCACCTTAGATAGCAATATCGAGTATGGATTTATTTTCATTGAATACTATTCAACTTCGTTATCGAACGGGAAAATATGTAGGATGCATATGTATCTGTCAGGAAAGTCCGAAGATAGTGCTGCCACCCTAAGGTAATAAAAAGATAACATACCAACATCTTTTTTAAACATAAATTTAAACTAAAATTGTATTCATTTCTAGTAAATCATTTTATGCTATTTTTTATTATAAATATATGATAATAATATATAATGATAGCTCGCTTAAATTCTATTTAAAAATCAATGATTAGTTTAACACAATATTTCGATGCATTCACGTCATTAATTTTTATTAAATAATTTGCATTTTCAATTAACTTAGAATATTTATAGAAACTCGATCTTACTAATACTTACTACTTAAACACTAAAATCTTTCTCAAATAAAAATACTTAAAATAAAATAGACAAAACTATATGAAAAATTATTATTTATTAGCATTAAAATAAGAAATAAAATATATAGCTTTGAATGTTCTGCTCTTTAGGGTTCTTAATTACTCTATCACTTGATTGTATGATTAATATAGTTTTCTTTTTGTTACAGGTGATCATCGTTGGATTTATCATCTACTCGTTTTGATTTTCTTCTACTTTTTAAAATATATATGTATAAAAAACGCATTTCTGAAGGCACACACACATATTTATATACTAAAAATAAAATATAATTATTTTAAATTTTCTCACAATATAACTATTTATATTATATAACTATATATATACTATATATACTATATATACTATATAACTATATATATATATATACTATCAAAGAATATTGTATTCTTTGATAGTATTGTTCCGTTATCGCGTTAAGTACATACTATCGTTCAATGGTGGTCCCAGTGGTATCAAAAATGATACTGGGTAGATAAAAAAGGGGACTTGTGAGTTTCTATATACTTCATCACAAAAAAGTTGGC